AAAAGTAAGAGAGTTCTCATCTATGGATATAGTAGTATGTCATTAGGAATCATTTTAACACTATGTCCATTAGTCCATTAGACTAATGGATTTGCCAACCAATTCTAAACCCCTTTAACAGTGGCAGATATGGATCCTACCTAAAAAAGGGACCTTGGATTCAATGAGAAAGTGGTTGTTTGCTCCAGTGAAATTGGTGTAACTATTGTACTAGTGGACATACTTTTCAGGACAGTCATTGTTGTAAGTTGCAAGTTCTCAGCTGGGTGAGACTGAGAATAACTTTTCTCCTACAGTAGCACACAAAGAACATTCCAGCACCACAAATACTAGCCAATAGTGTTGAAGCTTCTTGATGAGTAGCAGATTTATTTCTTTGTGTTCTGTGACTGAAATATATGGTTTCAGCAAAATAGCGTTTTACTGTCAAGTTCTGGAGAGTAACCAAGAATATTGGCAATGACCTGTGATACTTAAGGATACATGTGGCTCTATTGGCCAACGGCTCAAAAGAATGTAATCTTTTACTGGTCCCAAGATTAGACCTACCACACACTCTTCTTCATATGGTTGTGATGAGAAAAGATAGAAAATTAATAAATATATCCTTTATGTTTTTTAACCATACAGGTGTCATGCAGATAATCACAACAATGCAAGAGTTAGGCTAGGAATTAGGGTAAAATTGAAAGTTATAAAAATCTGTGTCATAGACCTTGAAATCATATGCTAATTTCTTTTCTACTCTACATCCTACGTTCTTTGTTGGCAACAATGTAATAGTACACAAATTGAATTGGGAGACCACTCCATATAGAGGGATTCTCGCTCAGCCTAGACACAGGTAGGAGGGTCAAGTCCCTGTTCCAAACAGTATGACAGACATTGATTATCCCCATGGAAGGCCTCACCCTCCCATGGATGCAGAAAGGGGATGGAATAAGGGGGTCAGTGGGGGGCAGGGGAGGACAGGATGTTGAGGGGACTGGGATTGACATGTAAAACAAGCTCATTTCAAATTTAAAGAAAAAAGAAAAAATGTAGAAGTCTTATTATAAAAACTTTGTACAGAAATAAACTTCATGTCAAATTAACTAGACCCAAAGTTTATACAACTCAGTAAACTTCTATACAGGTAGAATAACTATTTGGAATGGAAGCTATGGAGTTTTACTTTAAAGTTTATACTTTCAGTAATATATATATATATACATATATATATATATATATATGCGTGCGTGCGTGCGTGCGTGCGACTGTAGAGCCAATGTAATCAGATGTGCTAATAAATAATTTGCCAAATTATCACATCAAATTATTCTTAGGCAAACCACAATCAACAATCTGAATTTTCACTTGAAAATCTGGCAATCACTTTGAGTGATCTGTTTGCTGCTGGGACAGAGACAACAAGCACAACCCTGAGATATGCTCTCTTGCTCCTGCTGAAGCACCCACATGTCACAGGTAAGGGCACATGTTGAACCACAGTATTCCTATCTGATGTTCAAAAGACTCTTCTAGTTTCATGTGTGTTGTTATTCTTAGAGAAGTCTCAGAGCTTCACCTTCTTGCCATTCACTGGCTGTAATGAAGAGTGTGACTAAGAGAAACAGACTCTGGTTGTCACAAAAGCAGTCAACTTCTGCTTAGTGTCTGAGTTCTCTGGAAGGCTACAGGCATGGCGAGGGTACATTATCCTTTGGATATATGTTCTTCTACTCTTAAAAGCCATGTCTTTAGATCAGCTAAAGTCTTTCAGTTTCCTTTACTTATTCGGATGAATCTAGCTTTGGGATGGAGAAAAGAAAACTCACCTCACTGAACCATAAGCAGAAGCTGTAGAACTTTCTGAGACTGGCTGAGATAATGTGCATTTTGAGAAGTATCCAAAATATTTGGGTTCTCTAAAAACATTTTCCATTGATGCAGAAAAATGTAATTAAGGAATTTTATCACTTTAGATGTCCATTTCCTTAAACTTCTGTTAAACAATGATTTATTTCAATTGTACCAATAGAGTTTTCTTTTACATTGTACTTTAAAACAGCTCCAGTATTCCAGCATATACAAAACATGCCCTCACTCCTGTGCCCAATATATACTGCAAGACAAAAGCACAAATATGAATGAAAATTTATATTTTTTGGATAGGAAGAGATAACAATAATCAGCTAAGAAGGCTTCACCAAATTACTGAAACAACAGTATGAGGAATAAAAAAATAGATCAGGAAATATGATGTTGAAATATAAATGTTAGATGTTGCTTGTTTTATTTTTAGGAAAGAAGTATTTGGTTTTACCATAGGTTCCTGGGCTATCTCATATCCCATTACTGGCCACCCAAGCAGTTTCAGGAATGGTTTAAATATCATGGGGTGGGCCTCAGTTCAAATCAGTTCTTGGTTGGTTACTCCCACAAGTTTGTGTCGCCATTGCCCTATCAAATCTTGCAGACAAGGCACCATTGTTGTTCATAGGCTGGGCTGGTGTTTATGATCTTTCTTTGACAGTATGCAGAGTACATTCTTATACTAAATATTGTAACATAGGGGTGAAGGTTCCTATAGGCATCAGATTGATTTCTCCATGTTTACAGCATTGTGTAGGTGTTACTTCAGCAATGGGATCTTGCTGTTAGTTTGTGGAGAGCAACCCATTGTCTTGGCCACAGTCTTGGTTGTTTGGGGATTTCACAGAATTCTTTTGATACCCTAGTACTAGAAGTTTCATTTGATGACAAGGAATGTTCAGTTGGGGCTCTGTCTCCTAAATATTTGGCTATTTCATTTAGATCACCTTCATATATGTTTCAAATATATATTTAGGAAGTTTCTACTGTGTTAAGATTCCATACTATCCCTCAAATGGCCCTGAATTTTAAATTTCTCTCCCTGTATTCTCTCCTACATTCCCATGTCTCCTTCCCAATTAATTTCCCTTCATATTTCCATAATTATCTATTCTACCTCCCTTTCTTAACAAGGTCTATCTATCCTACATAGTCCCTAATTTATATCAAACCTCTGTGGTTCTACAGAATGAAGCTTGTTTATCAATGATTTAACTGCTAAAATCCACATGTTAGTGGTTACATATCGTATTTTTCTGTTTGGGTCTTGATTACATGACTAAGGGTGGTTTTTTTTCTTGATTCAGCCATTTAGCTGAGGGATAATGATTTTATTCTTTTTTAATGCCTGAGTAATACTTAATTTGTTGAATGCATCACATTTAAAAAATCAATCTATCCTTCTGTTTAGTGACACATTTGCTGTTTTCTATTCTTGGATATTATGAATAAAGCAACAATGAACATGGCTGAGCAAGTGTTTCTGTGACAGGATGAAGCAACTGTATGTCCAAGAGTGGTTTAGCTGTATCTTGATGCAGATTTATTTGCAACTTCCTAAAGTCCTATCACACAGATATCCAAAGCGGCTGTACAGGTTTGCATTCCCACCAACAATGCATTAATATTCCTTTAGATCCCCATACTCAAGAGAATGAGCTGATACTTTTTTAAAACTGATATTCTCCATTCTGTTGGGTGTAAGATGAAATATCACATACTCTTATTTGCATTTCTGTGATGACTAGGGATTTTGTTCATTTTCTAAGTTTCTTTAAGTTTTTCTCAGTCATTTCAGTTTCATCTTTTGAGAATTCTCAGCTTGTACCTCTACCACATTTTATTATTTGGGTTATTTGTTTTCTTGAAATCTTTTTTTGAATTCTTTTTATATTTTAGATATTAGCCCCCTATTTGATGTGTAGTAAGCAAAAATCTTTTCCCATTCTATAGCCTGCTGCTTTTGTTCTAATAATAGTGTCTTTTGCCATACAGAAGCCTTTCAGGTTCCTGAGGTCCTAAAATGCCATGGGTAATGAGGAAAGAGGAAGGCTGTATGTGTTTTGATGTGTTTGTTCATATAGATAATGTAGATATAACTGAAAATTTCATTTCCCATATCTGAAATTCATAAATGTTGTAAATCTGTGGGCATATAAGAAACAGTCATTTTGCAAATTGTGAGCATGGGGGGAGGGGAGAGGGAACTAGGAGAATGAGAAGGGAAGAAGAAGAGGGGTGAGGAAGACATGATGGGGCAGGGAGGTCGAGTTGGGGGAAGAACAGAAGAGAGAAAGATAAGAGATACCATAATAGAGGGAGACATTAAGGTTTAAAGAGAAATCAGGCACTAGGGAAATGTCTGGAGAGCTACAAAGAGGATGCCAACTAACAATCTAAGCAACAGGGGAGAGGCTACCTTAAATGTCCTTTCCTAATAATGAGATTGATGACTAATTCATATGCCATAGTATAGCCTTCATCCAGCAGCTGGTGTAAGTTGAAGCAGACACCCACAGTTTAACCTTGAATTGAACTGAAATCCAGTTGCAGAGAAGGAGGACTGATGACCAAACGTGTCCATACCAGGCTGGTGAAACCCACAGAAACAGCTGACCTGAACAAAGGAGAGCTCTTGGTCCCCAGACTGATAGCTGGGAAACCAGCATGGAACTGATCCAGACCACCTGAATGTGGGTGTCAGTGAGGAGACCTTGGAAATCTATGGGGCCTCTTGTAGTAGATCAGTACTTATCCCTAGCATAGGAATGGACTTTGGGAGCCCATCCCACATGGAAGGATACACCCTGAACCTAGACACAAGGGGAATTGGCTTAGGCCCTATCTCAAAGAATATGACAGAATTGGAGGCCCCATATGGAAAGCTTCAGCCTCCCTGGGGAGCAGAAAGGGTATGGGATAGGTAGGATGTTACTTGGGGAGTCAAGGGGGGAGGGGAGGGAGAGGGACCTAGGATAGACATGTAAAATAATTTTCTTTCTAATAAAAATTACAAACAAAAAGAAAAAAGAAACAGTCATTTTACAAATATGAGTATATTTCATAAGTAGTGGAAAATGTTGAACTTGTTCAATATGGGGTGTGAGAAATAAAGAATTCTTTTGAATTGTACATATGCACCACATAAACAGGCTCATAAATATACATACATTAGAATGTGACTGTAAGAGAATATTATATTTAGATAGAGATTTAGTATCTGACTTCTCATGTCCTTTAACAGAGACATAAGCATGGTGATTATATTGTTTTACTTGATACTTTTATATACTTATACTTTATTTGCCATTATGGCTACTAAATAATAAGTATATGCTAACCTACCATAATATCTACATAGAAAGATAGTGATATAAACCCACAACATAGCATTATAAATATATGTATAAAAGCTTTTACACATGAAAGAAATAATGAAGATTTATAATTCTGTTGGAATGCCTACATTATGGTCTGTATGGCCTGACATTGTACCAACCATGTCACTTTTCTATTCCCCCATTTCTCACTGTGACAAAACAGCTAAAGTACAGGAAGAGATTGATCAAGTGGTTGGCAGAGACCGAAGCCCTTCCATGCAGGACAGGAGCCGCATGCCCTACACAGATGCCACGGTTCATGAGGTCCAGAGATTCATAGACCTGATCCCCACCAACCTGCCCCATGCGGTGACCTGTGACATTAAATTCAGGGATTTCTTCATCCCCAAGGTAAGCTTGTCTCTTCTCTGCTTTGCCTCTGTCCTCTTGTTGCTTCCAGTTTCACAGTGTGGTTCCAGTCCTCTGAGCCACCCAGGGCTGTATGTGGTTTGTACTACTCCATGATCTGGAGGCAGCACTGCTGCAGGTACAGATATATCTGGTAATGATACTTCCACATTTGCTCTCTCTTCCAAACACTTTTGGGCAAAGCTTAGGTATTTCTGTTTGAATGTTAAAACATTTTGTCAAATTCCAAAAAGTCTTTTCTAGATTTTCATCATTATGAGAAAAATAATCTTCAAAATGGAAAGAATCCATATCCTGAAATCTTCAATTCCTTAATAATGCTACTTCATTCAATCATTTATTTGCCCTACTTTTTCCCATAATTCTCCTAATTTGGTTGTTCCACCTATAATTTCTGCCTGTCTACAGGGCAGTCAACATTTTATTCTATCAGTCAGAGTGGGAAATCTTCACAGTGTGCAAAGGATTATTCCACAGCACATCACTTGTCACATTTCTCATGAGAATGACAATTGTAAGTTTAATATCTCCCTATCAAGTTTAACGATATAGGAATACATGGATAGTTGTGTAGTTCAGGTGAAAATTTTTGCTCTAATTTTCTTAAGGATATAAGAAATACTTTAATGTGGATCCAATTATTTATGAGCATGGACCAGGAAAATAGAGTTTTATTTTGAGATAATTTTTATTCTCAAAAGTCTGTCCATTTTTTTTGAAACAGTTCTCTGAACCCATTTATGGTTCTATGTATTGTTTCCTCTTTGATCACTGACTGTATATGTTGCAAACATATATGTATATTGGATTTTCTCTACCACATATTACTCCTATGGTAATAAAATTCTGTCCATATTTTTCTTCCTCATACTTGTTAGAATTTTTGTATTAAAACCAAATTGTTGGCTTAAAACTAAGTTATAAACATTTTCTGATGTGGTTCTGTTTGTACTCATTTCATTTCTGTAGCCACTTAGTGGTACTTTGAAGACACTATATAACTTCTTATTGAGTGCCAGATACTACAGATGAAAAATTCAGATTTTTTACCTCAATATCTTCATTCATAAAGGATGAAGTTGCTCTTTCCTGGAGGGTCTTGTATTTCTTCAGGGTGAGGTGGGGCAAAAGGCATTGATAAGGCTCCAGTTACTAACACTGTGTAGAGATGAAGGAACTAATTTTTCCAGGCAGCAATGAGTTTTACTTTGTGATAACAGATTCAGTACAAGGGTTAGGTGGCCAGTGTTCTCTGTTTGTCTAAAGGACACTCCTGAGGCAAGACTGTTGAGGTCTATGGCTAATATAAAAACTCATTTATGTCTATGTCATTAGCCTAAGTAAATGATAAGTCGAACAAAGGACAAGTTTAGAACAGTGTATCTCCACATACCTACCTTGGGTTTAAGCCCCAGTTCAAGTAGAGTATTGCCTCAGCTAAACATATATCCCATCATCCCTCTGTTGCCGGATGATATTATGACTGGTCTTTATGGGGTCTAGTCAAAGAGAATATAACATTCTCTTCCTTTATGAAACAACCTGGCTATTTCACAGCTGATTCTCCTTTCTGACAAATAGGATAAGTGTTGTTGTTTTTTTTTAAATCAGAATGGAGCCACTGATCTCAACAGAACTAGTAGAATAAGAAGGAACCAATAAGCATTTCCATAATTGTTCTGGCAGATTTCAGGCTTTCTGTGCTGTGAGAACTGTGCTGCCCCTTTATAGACATTGTCATTATAACAGAGAAGCAGTCACAGGCAGAGTGTAAACAAATGCTTATGGATATAATTCATTCAAGTCCTATTGACACTAGAACTTAATTTTCACATAATTGACACATGTCAATAATAGTCTTTTTAGTTTAAAATTATAAGCACATTTAGTTTAGTCACATTCTACTTCATTTGGCAACCCTGTAAAAGTTTTAGACCATGTTCCTGGAAACTTTGACATAATATAAGGATAGTTTGTGTGCTTGTTGAAGAGATCTTGCCAGCATCATCTCCCAACAATTTCTGTGTATCTTCAGTTGTATTGATTTAGCTGTTGTCAGATCATGACATCATAACTTACCCTTAATTTTATTTGGAATTTATTTTATTTTCCTCCTCTCCTCCCCATTCCATTACTTCCTTTCCTTCTCCAAATTGTCTTCATCCTGTTTTTCTGACACATATGTGCATTTCTGTGTCTGTGTCTGTGCATTCACATAGATAGTTTCCATATATGACTGCACATCTCTAATCTGGTGCATAGCCCAACATTTGCTTTCTCATCCTATAAATAGATAGACATATAGATAGATTCTGTAAACAAAAAGTGGTATTTTTCTTCCCAAAGTTTCCCTATTGTCTTATTGAATGGTCTCCTCTTCTGTTCAAAACACTTAATAAACTATGCCAACTGGAACCTGATTCACATGTGATGTGTGTAGACAGATGTGATGAGCTATAGCAGACAGGGTTCAGAGAAGCATGAGTCCAATCTGAAGGAAAGAAAGAATAAACTTAGGAGTTTTATTTCAAGTACTCATGTGAAATGTCCTTGAAGGCACTTTAGCCACACCACTGTGTCTGGTCTCAAACTCCTCCCTGCTCCTAATCTGCTCTGTGTGTTGAAACTTCACTACTGTTATTTGAACCTCATCCCAACAATGGAGCTGAAGGTGAACTAGGTTATTTCCCTAATGTGCTTTAGCTCTATGATTTTTTTTGTAACTTGATTTCTCCTTGTGTGTTATTATAGGGAACAACAATAATAACATCACTCTCATCAGTGCTTCACGACAGCAAGGAATTCCCCAACCCAGAGGTATTTGACCCTGGCCACTTTCTAGATAAGAATGGAAACTTTAAGAAAAGTGACTACTTCATGCCTTTTTCAACAGGTAAGAGAAATTCATTTCCATGGATCTAGTGACATGAGAATCTGGGGAGGTTTACATAGTGGCTCCCTAATGTCAAGTAGACTTGCAAGGATCAGGGGTATGCCTTTCATTGTTGATGCATTGCCATAAAAAGAGATTCCTTCTCTGTCAGGATATAAAAGTGAGGCTTTGATTGTTTAGTCATTGTTCAGAATTGAGAGAGCTAGAGTGTAGACTATTGGTTTTCGTCTTTTAGCTACTTTACAGAAATACCAAAGAAAGCAAACTTCATTTACCCTTTCTCATTCACCATGAAAATGGAGACATCATAACAAACATTCATCTCTATTTTTCTGTGTCAATCACCTCCTTGCTCAACTATATAATTAACATGTCTCCAAAAATACAGACAATTCCTGAAAGCCTCAAGTGCCCTTGGTAAACACCTGAATGAACAATACTTATCAAATACCAATTTGACTAGGGCAATGAGAAAGTCTTCCAGATCTCCTGGTTTTGATGGATAAATCAGAACATTTATCTCTCAAATATTATGTATTAGTGGCAAAAATAGTGCAACATTCTAATACATGAATTATTTGCTGCCACAAAGGCATGGGTAATGGAGAATTATAAAAATAACTCACATATCATTAAAAAAGGCCATGAACCATTAGCTTAGATCATATTTTTCACAGTTCAGAATGCCAGAAGCTTCCAGAATATCATATGATGATGGGCATTATTGATGAGGCAGAACACTCTGCACATATGATGAGAACCCTGTTCCTTCTCATTCAGGGTAAGACTAAGTGATATGGGGTCAACATCTTCAGTGTGCATGCTGTCTTTGGATACATAGCTTCTATCCTTGGTTTTGTTATTTTTGATAATGAACCCAGGATTCCTCTTCCACTGTCTCCAAGTCAGTCTGAATACAGATGTGAACAACCACACCTAGCTAAATAGTATTTTTGAACTGTGTATTTCTTTATAGTGTAAGTTAATTGAGCAACAAATTTGCTCCACATTTTTCTATTTGCCTAGTTATCTGCCCTTTAATATGTCCATCCCTCTACCAACCAACTCAATAACTTACCCTGAATTCATAGCCTCTTGTGCAGATACAAGTATAGTGATTCTTACATTTACATATGAAAATAATAATCTTTTTGATATTTTTCCTAGGAAAACGGATATGTGCAGGAGAGGGCCTGGCACGCATGGAGCTGTTTCTATTCCTGACCACAATTTTACAGAACTTTAAGCTGAAATCTCTGGTTCACCCAAAGGACATCGATACAAACCCAGTGGTAAATGGATTTGCTTCTCTGCCACCCCCCTTCCAGCTCTGCTTCATTCCTGTCTAAAGGAAAGTAAACTTTCTGGCTCACACTCTGTTGTTTTCTGCAATCTGCTCTAGACCTTCATTGCATCAGGGACAAAGTGTTTTTCCTCCCATCTCACATATTCCCATTCTGTCAAGTCCCAGGAAATACCTGTCAATCATTTTACAATTTCTGGAGTCACTGCACAAATATAGTTCTATTTTCTATTCTTTGCAACAGTGTTATTATCCTTTGTGCTAATATGTATCTGGCCTTGAGCTATAATAGAACTTTACTGTTATATAACTAATATAATTCATTGTTGTTTTTCTTCTTCATGCTTTCAATAATAAATACATTTGATTTGTGTACTTGTTCTGAGACTAGCTTATAATTTACATAAGAAATGAGAGAAAATACAGTTCCCAACATATCTTGCTTGCCCACACACTGTGAAGGATAGTGAATGCAAGATGAGGGCTAGAGAGATATTTCATCCACTAAGTGCTTGCCACACAAACTTGAAGGCCTAAATCTAATCTCTCTTATATATAGAAGGGCCAGGCATGCTGGTGTGTCCTTGTTATACCAACACTGGGGAGACAGAACAAGAGAGATTCTATAATCTTGCTGAACACCAAAGCAAGCATAATTAGTGAGCCCCATCTCCCTATTTCAAATTCAAGTTTGTTATCTTGCAAGTAGCATCACTCAAGGTTCTCTGACTTCCACATATGTGTATGTACATGTACATACATTCTCTTACATATGTGTATCTGATTAATGAGCACACACACACACACACACACACACACACACACACACACACACACACACACGCACATACATACATGCAAAACAGCATATGAAGAGGAAGGTACCAAAGCTCTTTGGTTGAGCATCATTTAGAATCACTGGAGTATGTTTTTTTTAATTAAATTTATTAAATTTAGAAACAATATTATTTTAATATCAATCCCAGTTTCCTGTCTCTCCCATGCTCCCATGCCCCACTAACCCACCCATACCATCCCACACCCACTTACTAAGACGATGAGGCCTTCCATCAGGGAATCATCAAAGTCTGTCACTCCATTTGGGGCAGAGCCTAGGCCCTTCTCTGTGTATCTGGGCTGAGACAGTATCCATTCTTGGGGAATGGGCTCCCAAAGTCCATTTGTGCACTAGGGATAAAAAAACTGGTTCCATTGTCAGAGGCCTCATAGATTGCCCAGGCCTCCTAACTGGCACCCACATTCAAAGGGCTTGATTTGGTCGAAAGCTTGTTCCCCTGCTTTGTGAATGGGGTCACTGTGCTCTCACTTAGTCATGTCTTCTGTCTCTTTGGGTTTCTCCAGAATGATCTTGACCCCTTTTCTCATCCCTCCTCCTTCTCTAAAAGGATTCCAGGAGGTTGGCTCAGTGTTTAGCTGGGGGTGTCTGCTTCTGCTTCCATTAGCTACAGCATGAAGGCTCTAGGTTGGCATTGAGGGTAGTCATAAATCTCATTATAGGAGAAGACAATTAAAGATCGCTTCTCCACTATTGCTTAGATTCTTAGTTGGAGTCATCTTTATGGGTCTCTGGTCATTTCCCTTGTGCAACATTTCTCTTTAAACTTATAATGGATTCCTCTATTAATGTATCTTTTCTTGCTCTCTTCTATTTTTTCCCCAACTCAGTCTTCCTGATCCCTCATGTTCTCCTCACCCCCTCCTCTTCTCCCCTTCTTTTTCTCTTAATTCCCCCTCTCCTCCCCCCATAATCCCAATTTGCTTAGGAGATCTTGTCCATTTT